TACACCGCAAGTCGGCCGTAAGCTGGCCGTAAGCTGAGCGGTGCATCGGGACCGGGAAGAGCCGTCACCTGCGTGATGCCTGCGAACAGCTGGTTCCCAGGAAACGGGGGACGTATCAGCACACTGGCACCAGTGCACCCTGACTGCCAGCTGGAGAACAGAGCTGGCTACGACGTGTCAGTGCGGGTGCTTGTCAAAGGGCGGGATATGCGGAAGCTCCACAGAAAGCCAGGATCGCTCAGTATTTTATTTGCTAAATTTCTGCTTGCATTAGGTATATTCATTTTTCTCCTTGTCGTCACTGCGAGCATAAATGCAATATATATTCCATTTATTTGAACGAGTGTGTGTAATTAATACAGGGTAGCTATTAACGCAGTTGTACCGACATATAGAGTGCTACAGCGCAGACAGGACTAAACTAAGTACAATATGGAAGATCGATCGCCAGCGCGACGATAGTTTGGGAGTCGATTCAACGCCCCTCCTTTATTCGAGCCACGAAGCCGAGTATGGGATCGCGAGTGCGGGCGAAAGAACCCGGCACAGAACAAGGCGGGCGATCACGACGATACGAAGGGACCGACAGAACTGGGGGCACTATATAAGTACGCGTGTGCTGTAGACGGGAAGAGACGGGTGGGGCCGTGTCACAAGCCGCGCACAGAACCAAAGGCAAGCCGCAATGGGCACCATCTGGAAAGAACAGTCAGTGACGGGAGGGATGGGCAAACAGCGAACGTACGTACATGAGCCACGACGGCCGTTATATACATCCCCGAGGCCGGGCTGCGCGTCCTCGCTTGCTCATGCATCCTGTGCCGCGTACGAGAAGTTCTCGTTATGCATGGGCAAGGCTGTCGACAAGATTGGGGACATCCTGGGTGTGCGCTGAATACAGAGTCGTATCAGCTGTACCCACATAGAAACGAGATGACGGTTCGCGCTGCGTTCTTCCCCGCGTCAGCTCGGATCCAGCTGCTCCTCCAGATCAGCGTCACCCATCAACGTCACGTTAGACTCAGGATTCGGCCGATTTGCGGTGTAGGGAGAGACAAAAGCTCAAGATAGATTTCTGCAAAAGCGACGATGCGCCGCCTGACTGATGAATTCGAACCCGGCCTCATCCGTAACTTTCCCGCGGTGGCAGACCGCGCCTGGTGCTATCCCAGGCGGTGCAGGACTTTGCGAGGTACGAGCAAGGTGATGCCTCTACTGAGTTCGTTTTATGTAGGCCGACTAACAGTCTCCTGCGCTATGCTCGCCACCGGGACGCACGAGGCACGAACTTGAGATTCGGGCAACCATAAGAGCATGACTTATATATATTGTGCTCACTTCTGCCCGCGCTCGAATTTACCGCAAGATTCGCAGATAGCAGGGAAGGAGAGAATCGACGAGCCTGCGTCGCGTGCATAGACAATGGGTGCGCGTAAGCGGGCTCAAGCTCAGGGGGTTGTGGCCGTGGCCGTACATGATGCATGAAGCTTGAAGCTCGAAAGTTCAAATAAAGGTAACAGATGCGGTGATAACGTATGCCTCGGTTATCCGTACAACCAGCTGTACATCGTCACATGCAGTGTCAATGCTCACTCCAGCTAGGACAAACTGTATTTGAGGGTAGAGGCTATTGCCGCACGCGCATCAAATCGCTCCCGTCCTCGATCCCGAGACGGTCCGCAAAATCCCGCAAGTTCAACAGCGCGACATCGTGGGCCGCGTACGCCTCACGAGCCTGGTTCTGCATCCACTGTAGCATGCCATCTACACCCATGATTCCCATCATCCTGAGCCTCAGATTCTCCTGCCGCCGAGCATACTCTTCCTCGGACCACTGTCGCGCGGCGACACTTGCGTCATGCTGCCGTGCTCGTAGCCGCTCGAATTCTAGGCTCTGTATACACCCGTCAGTTGCAGACGCTGCCTCGGTATGGAACGTATACGAACTTGTTCTTTCGTGGCAAAGTCGTAGTCGTAGTCGCGGAACGCACGGCGAAAACTCTGAGGGGAGCGCCAGCCTGATATCTGTGTAGACGACGAGCGTGAGCAGTCCCTCCATGCAATTGCAACGACAAGCTATACAGATTGGGATTGCGCCATGTCTTCGCTTTCGAGAGTTTTATAGTGATGGTGGTCTACAAGAGGCGTTGATGTTTCAGCGTTCTTAACGCTCACGCTTGATCACGGTCGGCGCCAAAATCCTTCAGGCCCTGCACGAGTCGGACACAACCGCCACCTCGCCTGTGCAGCATCTTGCCTTGGAATCCCTCACTCCCGAGCCAATTCATCTCTGCATGCCGGCTTCTCTATTACTTTGTCTGCAGATACTACTGTGGCGACGCCCGTCATACAGCAACGTCTCCGCCGATCGCATGCGACCATGTAGTGTCTGGCACCTACTTAACGGCGGCGGCGGCGAAAGCCTACGATGCACTGAATGGTCAAGAAGGCGGATTTTCAATGTCTACTCTCGTTGCTAGCGAGACCCGTCGGCGCGCGCTCATTGTGTTGTGATGTGCGAAGCACAGACGTCTCTTGCACGTTGTGAACGATCCGGCGTATCTGAGTTACGTGGAAGTACGGGACATGTACAGTACTACTATGCGATATATAGAGCTGCAATAGCTATACTCCACGGTACGATACATGATGAAGGGTCACCGGTCACCGGTCATCAACGACCGAAAGATACCTAACTCTCGTCTGCCCGATAGTTCTCCAGTAGCTCTTCGATTAGGGATAGCTTCTTGCTGTATGTCTCAACAACATCTGGCACTTGTTTTTTGATCTCAGCCGTAGGTTCCCAAGTGTCAGCATTAGGCCCCCATCCCTCCCAACGGGCCCTGTAGTGCAACGCACGATCGATCTTAGCTTCGCCGATGATGGCAGAGGGTACGTATTCCCCGTATTCGTTGGCTTCTGGATTCGTGTACTTGCGATCTTTCCCCATGCATGCAGCCCGAACAGGCTTCCAATTCTTAGGAAGTATACGAGTGACCTTCAAAGATGCCCGCTCGATGTCGAATGGTCGGGATCGGTACTTCTTAGGCGATGTGATCTTGGCGTACTTGGAGAACTCGCAGAGAACGTGTTCTATATCAAGCCAGGCGTGCCGAGTCTCAGCGCGGAGATATCCTTTTCGAGGTAACCGGCAGCGAAAGCCAACTCGTTGAAGTGTTCGTGGACCCATGACAGCGCGAGCCCGATGTGCCCGGCGAGTAGCTCGTCGCCGAATATCATCTTGAGACCACTCTCCGGGCCAGGGCCTAGAAGCGCACAGTCTTCCGGTAACATGAGTTTTGGAATCATGTTGAGGTCGAGAATGACCTTACGAGCATTCGAGCATCAGCGCATATTCAATGACACGCTCTCATCTTGAACTCACTGATGCCCTAGAGATGCATTCATGGTCGGGTATAGTGCTATCTTTGCCTGCATGTGGCAGAGCTCATAGCATTCGCTGAGGTCGTCGGCAAAGCCGGAAAGCATCATGAACTCCAAGAGACGAAGGAGATGGTCGTAGTGAGAGACGCCTCAAATCATCTTGGGCGTCGGTGCGGGCATCCGGTTTGCGTTCCCAGCAACGCTGCATTTCGCTCCAACCCTTCGATCGAGCGCCTCAACGTAGGCTCTGTGGTTGAATCCCTGCCACGTGAGCGGGCCCATCTCGTCGCGGAGGAACTCGTACGTCTCGATGCGATCGAAAAGCCGGAATAAGCAGACACGGAAGCCACATTCTTTGAAGTTGGAAGAGCCCCCGGGCATGCCAGTGACCAGGATATACTGAGTATTTTTACCGAGTAGGCGAAAGTTGTATGTGAATCGCGCCATCTGGATAACAGGGTCGTCCGTCCAAGGGCCAGGCTTGCCAGCATACCGCCTCTCGAAGACTTTGTGGCGCTCAACGACATAGTCCAGGAAAGTGTCAATGCCACTTAATATCTGTATGTAAAGCGCTCTCCGTGTCCCTCCAGCACAGCGTCTCCGCCTGCCACACTGCGTTCCTTCGCCAAGGCGCCAGTGGGGCCCCTTGCGGCCGGACGTGACGGCGCGCGCAGGGTCTGTGAAGCAACAGTGTTTTGACGTAGGCGACCCATGCAGCTGGTTCAGAGTCAATAACTGGTGAGGGACAGCGAGTGGAACGGTATCGCTAGTCGTGGTGGGGTGGCGATTGGGGCGAGGTCGTGCGCTGTAAAGGTGAACGAACAGCTCGAGATAGGCCAGATGCCGGCAAGCATCCTGAAGGACGCTGAGGATTGAACGCTCCGGGAACATCGAAAATGGCGCGTATACGCGCGACTCTATATCCTGCATTCTGAAGTCAGCCGGACTTGCTGGGCGTCAAGATATGAAGGACACACCTTGAACACCATATTTGCCAGCAAGGTTGGCATCGTGCATGTAAACGACCGTGCTGAATCGCGGATGGTTGCTTCCGGTACCAGGCGCTGCGTATACGACATCTTCGTGTTTATCAGCAGCTGGTAGACCCCGCAACGAGGGCAGAGTCCGCCGAAACTGGAGGCAAACGCCATATTTCAGCATTTCGAGCGATGCTAACTAGGCAGGGTTGAATGAGGGTGTCTCGCGAGGCAGAAAAGCGCGAAGCTCCCTCGCGAAGTGAGGTGCGTAGAAGTTGCACGCAAAGAACGACGGAGATGTGCCCATAAGCCGGGCGCTTGTCGATGCGATAAGGCGGGATAGGGCCGGAAGACAATACCTGGACTAGATGAGCGAGGGAGACACTTAGAAGCGGTCGATCAAAGATGTCTGCGAGGTCCGTGTCGCCATCAGCAACATCGTCATTGGCCAGCTCGGCGTCGTATACAAGTGCATACGCTGCACAGGGCTTGCATGGTCGTCCCTCCACGCTTGTTTCACATGGCATGTTGGAAAAGACTCACTGCCCCATTCATACTCACGGCCAGGCCAATGACTATTATATATATTTTGGCTCTGCTTAATGTTGAG